TCTCTCTCTCTCTCTCTCTCTCTCTCTCTCTCTCTCTCTCTCTCTCTCTCTGATGTGCAAGTGTGGTGATATTCTGAGACTTACTTTTTTTTTTATCTCTACTGTTTCCAGGAAATGTCAGCCTTTCATCTGGGGCTCTCGTGGCCTAGAGGTTAAGGCACTCGCCTCTCATTCAAATGTCCCAGGTTTGAATCCGGATAACGACAGAAAAATTTCTTCTCGAAAATGTTCTCCTTTCACATCCTTTCTTGCTCTCTTGCAATATGCTGTCGTCTGCTTTCTTCTCTACTTTCTGCCCCCACCCCCTCATCTCCTTTACCCCCTCCTCTGGGCTCCTGAGTCTTGCTACAGCCTTTCTACTGCTACTCTTTGGCTCCTTGTTCCTGCTGTCTCTCAGCCACACCCCTGATCTTCTGGTAGGAAAGATCTATACCTGGCATTCTCTGACAAAGGCCTAAAATCTCAGAGGTCTCATGTGCACGTTGCGCACGTTAAAGATGCCTTGGTGGTCTAAAATTCGATAGTAGTAGGCTTCTGCCGCCACCCGGACAAAATTCCAAATTTCCTACCAACTGAAACGGAATCTCCTGGCCGCTTCAACTTGGTGACGTAATTAATTTGCCTAGTGCTCTATCATCGCTTGGAATGCTTTGGAACGTACCCACCTCCATCCCCACCACCATCCTTCCCCCCCCCCCCAACCCTCCCCCTTTTTTCTAAACAATAGAATTAGTAAATTTATTAATTTTAGTATAGTGGTCATTCATATCTCTGATTTTGTTTGGGTTTTTTTCTCTCGTTCTTTCTTTTTTCTGTCTTTCTTTGTTATTAAAATTTGAAGCGCAATGTTTATAGTTGCCTCGACTCAAAATGAGAGAGGGTGGGGGGGGGGGGGCAGAAAAAACGAGAGAAAGAGAGAGAGAGGGGTGGACAGAAAGAGAGAGAGAGAGAGAGAGAGAGAGAGAGAGAGAGAGAGAGAGAGAGAGAGAGAGAGAGAGAGAGAGACGGGGGGGGGGAGGGAGGGGAGGGAGGGGACAAGATGTCACGTATACAAAGTGTTTGTTCGTTTAGCAACTAAATACAGCTACTATTGATGTGAGATCGACATAGAAAGCTGTCGCTTTTTTTTTTTTCATTTCTATCCTGAACACAGTTTATGTCCCATCTTTTTTGCCGTGTTCCTTCACTACAAGTGTTTTTGCTGAGCAAACTAGACCCCATCCTGCTATAAAACAGTTGGGGACATCTACGTTTGATAATTCTACACAGAACAGCAACAATCATGGTGAGTACAGACAGAAGTTGTAGATGTCTTCAGCGTCTCTTGAGATCTTCCAGCTATTTCTGGGGAGATCTGAGTAGAAGTCTGTTGTATAGAGAAAGTCTGTTGTATAGAGAGAAAGGAAAAGAATAATAAGAAGAAGAAGAAGAAGAAGAAGAAGAAGAAGAAGAAGAAGAAGAAGAAGAAGAAGAAGAAGAAGAAGAAGAAGAAGAAGAAGAAGAAGAAGAAGAAGAAGAAGAAGAAGAAGAAGAATTCGAATAATAAGGATAATTATAATAATAATAATAATAATAATAATAATAATAATAATAATAATAATAATAATAATAATAATAATAATAATAATAATAATAATAATAATAATAATAATAATAATAATAATAATAACCTCAATTAAAGTACCTTGATTATGAGCGCTTTACAATACAACAGTATCATATAAACAGTACATTGTTTTCAGACCAAAAGAAAATCTCTCTCTAAATATTTATCTCATAACTTAAAACAGAAATGACTTCAGCTGACATTTAAATGTATTAAAGGACATGATCTCTTTTAAACTACTGGGCAAAGATTTCCAAATCTTGGGACTTTGATATCTAAATGCCCTATAACTCATTGTTTCAAGTTTCATTGATGGTAAAGTAATTATCTTTTTGTCAGCTAATGACCGTAAGCTGTGAGAAATTCGGAATGAACAGTTTCAATATATTTGATAAATCAATTAAGCATTTGTGACATAGAGTGGCCACCTTGTGCATAATCTTTTCTCTAGCGGAAGCCAGTATAGTGTCCGGAAAAGAGGTGAAGCAGAGTCTCGCTTTCTTTTCTGAGAAACTAAACATGCAGCATTATTTTGGATAGTTGATTAGATGACTTTTTAAAACTGATTTTTGCTTTATTTCTAAATACATGCAGCTTATCAAATGATTTACCTCAGCCGACATCGACAAACTGGAATCAAAATGAATGCCAAAATTCTTAAATTTTCTTCGAAATGCAGTTTTTGCATTATTAATTTTTATAAGATCTAAGTCAACCGTATCAACAGACTTAGCACTGCCTGCCAGAATGACTTCTGGTTTTTTTTCATCATTTAACATCAATTTGCTTTTGTTCATCCTGTTTTTGACTGAGGCAATCTAAGTTTGTAAGCATTGTTAAGCCATAGATTTGGGTGTCATCAGCATAGAAACGATACCTTCAGTTATATTTAACTTTATGTATTTCCTTGATAAGTGGTCGAGTATAAATGGTGAACAAAACTGGACCGAGGACTGAGCCCTGGAGGATCCCATACGTAAGATCATGATCTGATGACTTAAGCCCTTTAATAACACATGTTGGTATCGATTTGATAGGTAAGAACAAGACCAGCTAAGGGAAGTCCATCACATATGCCGAATAGTTATTTTGGAATTTTCCAATTGAGAAACAAAGTATTTCTTTTAGTTTTAGGTACAACACCTTGATTTGCTTCTTGTCCCAGAGAGTGATGCTAATAAAGTATACAACCTGGTGTTTGGGTTTTGTATTTGTTTGTTTTATTTCTCTATCTTCCTCAAGATGTTTCCTTCGTTCCCGTTCCTGCTTTCTCATAGTTCCCTTGGCTGCCGTGTTTTATTTGTTTTTCGTCCATGGTTGTAATCTTATTGACAAGTATAGAACTGATGTCTTTTTAAAATTAAATATTTTAACTCTCTGTCCTGGTCCTGGTGTTTCCCAGGTCTCTGCTCCCGTTGTCTCTTATCTTCCGTTTTTGTTTGTTTTGTTTGTTTTTGTAAGTGTTTTTGTTTTTTTTATTGTTTTGTATAGCTGATATTCTTTTTATTCCTTGTTCTTTTTCTCTCTCTCCAGATGTCCCCTGTGTCCCTGCTCCTGCTCTCTCTTGCCTTCACTGGCTGCAGCGCCTTTGGTGGCATGGGGCGCTTTCGTAATCCCATGTTTGGCGGGATGGGGAAGTTTGGCGGTCAAGGTCAAGGTTTCCCCGGCAGATTCCCAGGTCAAGGTCAAGGTTTCCCCGGCAGATTCCCAGGTCAAGGTCAAGGTTTCCCAACTGGTCCAGCAACTGGGCGATCAACGCCCTCCGTGTGTAGTGGGAAGGGCACTCTGGGGCAAAGATTTGCGGTCAACATTGGCATCAACGACGCTGATAACGACAGTTTTGTCTCTGGCCCGGAAATGTACAACGACTTCAGAAACAACTACGACACCAACAAAGACGGCTGTGTGACTCTGGCTGAGTGGGAACAGCGCTGGGTGCAGGGACTCCTCTTTTCCAAGGCATTCGCCGATAACCGTTGGGCCGCTCTGCAACCAAGCAACAACACCGCATGCCCCGTCACCTACGCCAGTTTCCAGAACAACACCAACATGAGAATGCCGTTGGGCGGTTTCATTTCGGGCAATCTGCAAACTCTCGTGGACACGTGCAAAAGCGACAACTCGCTGCTCATCTCCAACTGCGACTGTCTACAGTTGTTGGGCGCTTGTGTGAACGACGCTACGCTCAGCGCAAACTCCGTGTGTAATACGTACGTGGCTCAGCCAGTTAATGCCACCACTACACCCGTCCTAGGTTGATTTGGACGTAAGGAACTAGATTATCGACCTCCGTGGTTTTAGCAACTGCTAATGACCGACCACTCCATTTACCTCGAGAAATAAATTGATTGCAATTTAGGTGTAAAGCTTGGTTGGGGGCTTTCACTAACTGTGAAACATTTCCCTGGATCCGGCTGGTGATGCTTTTTAAAATAATAAATATTCTGGCAAAAAAATATGATTCTTGTTTGTACTATGATTTGGTTTGGAAGATACTTGTACTGATGTTCTTTATTGTGTGTGATATCGTAGTGAAATCAAGTGTTCCTCAAAATTACTAAATCGAAAAAACGGACATTTTTCCTTGTGTTGGACCTTTGTTATCGTCTTTTTTGTTCAATAGATTTTATGTCCATTTAAGAACAAACTATTTCTGCGTAAATTTTAAAAAATTTTAAAACACGCACACACACACACAATCCGATCTGGACATTTGGGATTGCCTTGTTAGTGAGACAACTTCCTGTAGATTTACTTTAATAAAAATGAAACGTCGATGGAAGTTACCAAAAAACATACAAATTTGCAATTGTCAAAGGCACTCAGACTTTTGAGGTCACCAAACTTTGGTGGCCATTTTCTCGTTAATTTTACCTCTGACAGTGGGTGACCCCCACCTCCTTCAATCGCAAATACATGTGTATCTCGACTTTTATTCAAGATCCGTGGATAATTTATTTTTATAAATCAGAAGTACGACATGTGAACAAGGTTTCTGCTGATGCTACAATAAATGTACAGGTCAAAAATTTGACGAGCTCCTCATTCCTGACGCACGAGTATACATACACACACATGCACACACACACACACACACACACACACACACACACACACACACACACACACACACACAAACACACACACGCACACACACACACACACACACACAAACATACTCACACATGCTTAAACAAGCGCAATTTATTTATAGATAGATAGATATATAGATAGATATATATATATGTATATATAATATATTGAAGCCCTGAAAGACCTTTACCTAAGCTTCATCGACTGTTCTCTAAAGCATTTGACAAAGTAGGGCAAAGATTTATTCAACATCCTAACAGTTCTGAACATTGATGGAAAAGACCTAAGAATCCTGAGAAACCTTTATTGGGAACAACAGGCAGCAATCATGGTTCACAACAAGCTCAGCAAGCACAGGCCAAACCGCATAGGAGTACGACAAGGATGTGTCTTATCGCCATATGTCTTTAATTTATACAGCGAAATGACACTGCGCAACATAAGTAATGTAGATGGATTCAAGGTAGACAGTCACAGTATGAAGAACCTACGGTACGCTGATGATCTATTCTTGATAGCTGACTCTGAGTCTAAGTTCAAAGATATTCTAACTAGAGTGACAGAGAAAAGCGTAGAAAAGCTGAATATCGAGAAAATGGAATGCATGGTGATTTTAAAAAATTCTGACATTCCCGTGTGGAACATTACATGTAAAAATGAAAGAATGACAAAGGCCATCAGCTTTACATACTGTGGTTGCAAACTGACACCAGATGCAAAAAGGTGTCACAGTGATACGAAAAGGTAGTTGCAATATCTAAAGAACTTTATACAAGATAAAAGTTATCCTCTCAAATAAAACATAACAGTGAATACAAAAACAAGAACTGTAAAATTGTACGTCTGGTCAATCCTTTTGTATGGATGCGAGAGCCGGACTCTAGACAAAGACACAGATAGAATACTGGAGGCCGTTGAAATGTGGTATTTAAGTAGAATACTCAGAATCTCATGGACAAAGAGGAAACGGATTTTTATAGATAAGTAATGCAAATGGTAGGTTTTGAAAGATACATAATCAAAATTCTCTGGAAAAGATAAATGAGATTCTTTGGCTACGCAAATAGATGAAATGGACTAGAGAAACTGTCGTTGTGTGGAAAGATGGAAGGAAAGAAGAGCAGAGGAAGACAAAGAACAACATACACAGATGGAGTGGAGAACTTTGCAACACATAACACAAAGAGAAACCCCGAGCTGATCAAGAAGACAGACAACAAGAAGGTATGGGGAGGGAGGGGGTATACCATGGTCGTCAGTGTCTGCTTCAGACCTTAGTGCGGGCCACATGTACAGGCCAAATCTTGCCTTTGTTTTAGTAAGGTTTTACGTCGCTCGCAACTGCATAAGGTCATATGAGCGCCAAGGGGTGGTTATCAACAGAGATGTCCAAACAGGAAATCAGGCTTACTCTGCTCACCTCTTTAGCCTCAACAGCACAAAGTCTGCTTCGACTATCAAGGCACCCCGGAAATAACAGTTCCAAAGAGAGGGACAAACATACAAAAGAAATAGAGGAAAATAACGGTAGTAAGGATAAGGAAAGAAAAAGTAGCTGTTCGCCCGAGTTGTTAACGCACAGTATGAGCACAATTCCACTGTACATAAGAGCTTTTTAATATCCTCCCTTTGGTAATGGCTTAAAGACACTTCAGTCAGTAGCACTGCTCTGGGGTAAAGGGGGGGGGGGGATCTGGCTTACGGCGTAGTTTTTCCCATGCCTGGGTGGTTGGTTGGTAAAAAAAAGTCATTGTCTGTTGCCTGTCGTAACTGACGAGGCATCTTGACAGTGGCCTAGATTTTTTATTGGGATATAAAATTAATGAAATTTAACAAACGGTCACCTGTCGTTATTGTTATCCTTCCAATGTCCAATTATGTTGGTCAGGTCCCACCTACTGTTGTTTACCCAAGCTGACCAAAGGGTAACAATAAATTTCCAGTTGCTGGTGACGGAAAAGTGTGGTCCTTTATATCATAATAATATAAGCCCAGCCCACAACTCATACACAAATGGAAAGTGAGGTGACCGGTCACTGTTTACCCAACAATGGACGTGAACATGAACGTGCAACAGAGCGTTGCTCGTGTTTCGAGTCGTGGCGACCTTTTTCCACCTCCTTGTTGATGTAAGTATTCATTCATCCAGTGCCAGATCTGCGACAAACATTGGCGATCATAGGTCTCCATTCATTCATTTGCTCGGATGCTCTTAAAAAAAGCCCAGTTTCTCAGATCTTTCCACGTTACCCATTTGTTTAGGTTCCCTAAGTAGGTTGCTTCGGGCCTACCCCTGTCTCGTTTGCCTTCAGTTTTGCCAATGAGAGCAACTGTTCAAGACCTTTGTGTCTGTTCAGGTGTCCCACAAACTGCATTTATTGTCGTTTCCTGATTATTTTTAACCGTGCGCGTCCCACATTAGCTTCATCAATAACTATCTCATTTGACAAACAGTAAAAATAGGCCTACTGAATTAAAAATAGGTTTTTTTTGGTTTGCAATACCTTTTAAAGTGTACTTGAGACTAAACCAAACGGTGCCTACTAACAGTACATGTTATTTTAAACCTGGATAATTATTAATGAGACCTGTGTACTCTACAGGTTTCGGTCAGTAGGGTCCAATCTGAGTACGGCTAGACTGGCAGGCTAGGTACGGTTAGCCAATTTGATAAAAGAATGTGCAACGGGAGCTGGCGACCGTGAGGGATGGTGGGTCATTACACGTCAACCTCTGAGTCAGAGATGACACCTTCAGAGGCGATCAGTAATCCAATCAAGGTGGGACGAAAGCAGATGTGACGGAATTCAAAAAATAAAAATTGTGGGACGAAAACGGGTTCTCACACACACACACACACACACACACACACACACACACACACACACACACACATACATACACACACTCATACACACACACACATACTCACAGAGAGAGAGAGATGATAAAATACATCCTCAATTAAGTCAAATCAGACTTCTGTAATCCCAGGGCATGAATCAAGCCCTTTCTACGAGTGAACCTTTTCAATATTGCCGGCACACATAGAAAAATAACTTAGCCTTTTCATTTCCCTCGTTCGATAAAATGCTTACAGATAATGTAGCCTACTAATCCGCCTGTAGTTGCTCTCCATTTTTGTGACAGAACTCGATGTTTCCAATTAGAGAACGGGGTGAATAAACATGAGCCGATGATTGCGCACATAAGGCTTTCACTATTGATCACGTAGGCTGTTGAAGAATACACCGACTTTTCCGCTGCGCATCCAAAGGCGTTCTATTGCGCGTGCCTGGGCGTGACTAAACTCACATACAGTAAGACACCAACAAGCACGTTTACATAAAACATATGCATAGATAGATAGATAGATAGATAGATAGATAGATAGATAGATAGATAGATAGATA